GAAAACGAAAAAAAAAGTACCGCAAAAATTCTCTGTCACGTGAATTGTTATTTAACAGATAGTCGTTGACAATTGGTTGGATCGATATAGATGATAATTTGCTAAGTGTTTTCGTGAACGTTTTTTCATAACTACGTTAAGAATGTTTTTAAGAGGAAAAAAAGAAAAAAAACAAAAAAGAAATCAGTCCTCCAAGACGACCGATCGGTAGATCAAATTGATCACCGATCGATCTCGCCACTTTTCCGAATCTCATCGACACACGAGATCCTTGTCCTTCGCGGCTTTTTCTATCTTTTTCTACTTTTTGAATAAACAACATTGCGCCCTCGATCGCCTCGGTGGCAGAAATGAAAATTCGACACGATCCGATCCGATCCGATCCGATCCGATCCACGCATGTGTCTTTGACGCGAACGATCTTGTTTCACCAGCTTCGACAATTGCACGCGAAAGTCAAGTTTCGCGGAATTGCCGGAAAAGAAAAAAATTGAAATTCGAAATTGTTTAGAAATTTTAAATGTGTACTCAATTACACGCGAAGGGTAACTCTCGTTTTCTCTTTTTTTCTCTTTTTTTCATTCGTGTTCTCGATAGACCGTTGTCGTATCTCGAAATCAAATCAAAAGACATTGCGGATTTTTCACGAATCTTATACCGGGCGTGTAAATTTTTTTCTCATTGAAATATCCGAGTTCTGTTACTCGATGTAACACGAGAGATGACTGAGATTTGGAGATTTCTGTGCTCAGATTTTACAGACGCCAAGGCATAAATGGGTTACGTTTCAAAGTTCCTTACGTGTCCTTTTGTTTCCCCCCCGTTTCGGCTGAATTTTAAAGCGACCCGCCAAATGCTTCCGTCTAGCTCGGAGGAAGTTTCGGCCGAAACTTTTCCACGGAGTCCGTAGTTTGAATCTTTATGAACCTAATATGAGAAAAGAATAGACGTTGCGAAGAAACGTTAGGCAAGATTCTACGATTTTCGAAGCGCGAGACGGAACACGAACTTTTTGCGTGAATTACGATGGGATCGATGGAAGAATCAACTTGGTTTAGTTTTACGTTTAGTCTTACATGTTCTTCATGATCTTTCTTTTGTTTGCTTTTATTATCATGGAAATATTCTTCGCGACAAATGCCGAGAATATTTTATGAAGTCGGTAGTTTTATTAGAAAAGGATCATTTCAGGTAAATATCTGAATTAATTTTAAAATTCGTTTGCTCGATTTTTTAGCTCGCGACTGCAGTGAATTTTAAAGAAAAAAATCCCCTCATCGATCGTGCGAAATGCTCTCGCGAAACAGAGTCAATTATCCATCAATTAGATGCTGCCACCGTAATCATTCGCGAAATCGAGGGATCGGATTTCGTTTCTTCGAGAAACTGTACTTTATCTTCAAAAATCAAAAACCACCCTCGTATCTGTCAGAATGAATATCGAGCAGAGTTGCCCTTCGAATAGCGAAATATAAGTATCATATACAGAGATGAGAAAGTGACTGCTGAAATATACTCCACAAATATTCCATTCTTTTTATGGTTTATTTTAAAGTTGAAACTTAACTTTTACATCGATTGATCACAGAATGAAATGGCTTCTTTCGCCAGCTATCTTCTCGCCTCTGCACGAAAAGAAATAAATATTGCAGTGACACTAGGCCGCGGATGTTTATACGAATTTATATTTTTATGAACGCGATTAATTCGCCTAACGTTTACCTCCGAATAAATGGGTTAACGTTGTCCGAAATTAATTGAGAATCGAACATCACTATACATCGGGAAATAAATATATTCCCTGTGTTGTTTTACAATTTTTCAAAAATCTAGTAAACATCCGCCAATCCAGCCAATCACCGTTGCATCGATTCTCGCGTTCGACAGCATCCACTTCATCGAATGCTCGTCTTTTGGAAGACTTTCGGCCATCGAGTGTCCCACCGGGATCAACGTGCAGCCTTCGATCAGTAGTCTTCGGTGCAAGCGTACCCGTGCGGGTCTCTGATTTTTTTTTTTTTTCCTTGTGTGTGTTGAACGTATTCAAAAATCGCGAGCCAAACTCGTACGTATCGTAATCGTCGTTAACCCTCGTTCAGAAAAGCCTGAATCATTGTTGTCGTAGTTGTCGGATATTTTAATTTTATAAAAACTTGAGAAGGCATTTTCTTACGCCTATATTTCAATGAATAATATAATACTGTTCTATATTTTTTGCCCTGTAAATAAACTTGCGTTACATAGACTGTTTCACGAAACGACTTTAAATATTTCAAACTGAACGAAGGAAAAATAAAGGTAAAACACAAAAGGAAGAGTTGCGACTTCTTCAGCTTTGAAACGATAGATCGAACGGAACATTCGATTAAGCATAAAATAATTTACTATTATTATTATTCGTGCCACGAATATTTCTTGTAACGAATAAATTTATGAAAGTCGGTCATTTTTTTTTCCGGTTTTTTTTTTTTTTTCTTAAATCCAGCTTACGTTGAAAGATTCATAAAAATTGGAGTTGAACATATTCCGCTGTGAAATTCACGTGCGAGCTCGTAATTTGAAAGTAAATCTACGTGACTGAGGATTGATCCAGACTTCGCTCGTCAGAGGGTTGAACGATCAACGAAAGTGCGGATGTTGCTCGCGATTTCCAACGAAAGGGGAAAAGCGTAAAAGCGACGCGCGAGATGGGTCGCGCGCGGTAGTTTAGCGAACGACGTAGCAACCGATAAACTAGAAGTGTATATAGAAGATGAGATTTCAAAGGAGAGAAGTAAAAAAAAAAAAAAGAAAGTCATATTCTATACGAGGTGTACGAGGCGTAGAAGCAAAGTTATATAGAGGTTACTGAGTATGTAATTGTATAGGCTTTGCAACGAATGTGCGCAAGAGAGAGAGAGAGAGAGAGAGCGTGAAAGTGGAGCTACGTGAGAGATACTGTAAATTCGAATTGTCAGGACGCGTTTCGAGTTCGAGTCGGATGCGTCCTCACGTTGTGAAGCTGCGTTCCATTGCAAAATAACACGAGCAGCGTTCTTGGAAAGATGGTCTTGATCATTTGGGGGAGAACGCGAGTAGCAGTTTTGTTCTGTGAATGTTTCTTTTTATAGAGATTGATCTAAACTTTGGTCAATTGAAAAAGTTAGAGTAAACTGGACTTTCATAATGTTGAATTTGTTTCTTCTGCAAAGACTAATTTTAGTGATTGAACTGATTGAAGATTAATTAACAGTGTCAAATCGAAAATCATCGATTCCTGATAAAGGTGGACGTCGCTCACAAACGTTTGAGATTTCTACCCTAATTCACATGAAACACGCAAAGAACTTTGGAGGTTCAAAAACACTGCCCGAAAAACCTTCGTGAACGATCCTTGTCCTCCTGTTGTCGGAAATCACTCTGTCTTTCTGTTCTTTCATGAAAACAATTGTCGAGAGAGGGACGACTGCAGAGCGTATTTTTGTAACAAGAAAGTGAAATGAGACGATCTTTTCACGAATTTCGACTGCCGTTTTTTTTTCTCGCAGTTGGACCGCAGCTCAGGGTGGGCAGGAAATATCGAAGGAAGGCGTGTCCTTGGTCGTCGAGGACCGATCTCGAGGAATTTCCCGCGTCCACTTTCCAAACAATCAGCGAGTCGATGACTAAGACGGCCAGAAAGTTACTTAATATATTATTAGATAATGATATTTCACGCCTCTTGCCTTTTTTCGTTCCTCGAGCATGGATGGCCGCTCG